GAGGATAAAGAGATAGTATCAGATAACTTGATGTCACCCTTGCCAGAAATGGGAACAAGAGAGCCATCAGCAATGGATACTTTATCTCTATCAGAAGGCAAGTGATAAGTAGTGAACAATGATGGCAAGCTAGTCATATGGTCAGATGCTCCTGAGTCTATTACCCAACAATGTTCAATATTACCTGGAGCTTAAGCATGGTAGGCTGAGGCCCGGGTACCTGAATGAGCAAATGCAGATGTGGCAGAGATTGATGGTGACTGAGATGACTGGGCCGAATTCCCAACCTCCTTTTCCAACTGTATCAGGGCAGCCCGAACAGCAGCTAAGGTATCTAGGGGTGTGCCTTGTGTGCCTGACGAGGATGTAGAATCAGTATTCACAGCCATATGAGCATTACCCCTTTTATCCCTCAGTTTTGCTGGGACTAAATGAGGATGGAGCTTCCAACATGTATCTTTTGTATGCTTGGGTTTCTTGCAATGTTCACATACCATATCCCATTTGTCTTCCTTCTTCATGTCTCTTTCTGTATCACCCCCAGACTTAGGTTTAACTACTGCTAGGGCTGGGGGAAAGGGCTGATGTTGCATCATAACCTTCCTCCTAGTCTCTTCACTATGCACCAGGGAGTATGCTTGAGAGAGGGTCACACTGTCTCTTGCCAGTATCTGTTGTCTCACAATGTCATAATCTGAATTCAGGCCAGCCAGAAATTCAAACACCCTATTGGTCTCGACTTGCTTTCTATGGGTCTGTGCATCTTTCGGACTTTCCCACTCAAGAATCTCCAGATGGTCAATTTCATGCCACAATGATTTCAGTGTAGAGAAATACACAGAGACTGGTTTCTCTCCTTGTTTAAGGTTATTCACTTCACACTTTAGTTCATAGGCCCTAGCAACATTAAGGGGTTGGGAGTAGGTCTCCTTCATGACGTCTCATATCTCCTTGGCTGTCTTTGCCCACAAGTAATTTCGACTGATATGTGGCTGCATCGAGTTGCACAGCCATGTCATAACCAAGTAGTTCCCGAACCCACTTGGTATACATTGGGTCCTCCTTGGAAGGCTCTTCCACATCTCCCAATAGATAGCTAAGTTTTCCCCTTCCCCCAATAGCCATCATGGCTGATTGGGCCCATTCCAAGTAATTGGATCCATCAAATCTCACAGTTGTGATCTGAAACACAGTCTCAGACATACTACCAGAACTGTTGTTCCCAAACACACCTTCTCCCTGATTTTTGAACTCCATTCTTGGTCAAGAATCAGT